TCTGTGTAAAGATGCATGAATTATGATTTGTTGATTCACTTATTATAAATAGAACACTTTTGCTGCATGTTTTCTGTATCCTCGTTCTGAGCATCGCCCCTGAAATTGCTCAAATAACCTTCATGGCAAGTCTATGAGGTGGGTAAAATCACTACCCCCATCCTACAGATGAGGAAACCAAGGACAGCAAGGTCATACAGGTACTAACAGAACTGTCAAAACTTGAGCCAAGGCTTCTGGACACCAGAACCCATTCTGATAACTTTCCAGACTGTGCGAGGCACTGCGACCACTGTCTCCGTGTGTCAATGCCCATTTGTTGTCTCAGTCAATGTCATACCATACGATGACCAAGTTTTACTGTCAAGTAAGTTGATAAACATCTCCAAAATGTCTCAGTCAATGTCATACCATACGATGACCAAGTCTTACTGGGGGGATCTGCGATGAAGGGTAGGTAATTCAAAGGATCAACAGCAGGGGTCCCAGAAGTATTGGGTAGCCACAAAGAAATGTAGAAGCACCTCTACTGAGCCCTGATTTTCCTCTAAATAACGACAAGTCATAACCCACAAGTCCCCGTGTTGGCCTTTTAATGATGACTGCTATATTTTTCAGGGCACTTGCCAGAGCAGCTGCTCTTTGTCCCAAGAGGTTAAAGCCTGAACTACTCAGAGGTACAAAAAGCGTCCAGAGAGGTATATGACCCTTGTGCATGTTTGTGCAAGGCCAGTCTTGGCACTCCTAGACCCAGCAATGACTCCGAATGGGCCCAAGTGTCGCCTATCTGCTGGGCAGCCCTATAGATTCAGCCGGGGTGACCCATCCCTCAGCGTCAATGTCCTGAGCAAACCATTTTTTTAGGCCTTAAGTTGGAATTTTAGAAGCAGGCAACATCTGTGTCTGGAGATAATATGACCTGCCCCAAACAGCTCAGAATTAAGGTAACATGTGCAGGTTTTTGTAAATTGTAAAGCGCTTACTAATGCAAGAGATCATTTTTACTATTCCGCAGAGTGGGTTCTTATTAAATGACAAAATTACCTAAAGACTAACTGTGGGTGGGATTGGCATTTCATATGTCAGTACCTATAAACACATTCATATTCGTCCCTGGTGCTGGCCTGAGGCCCTGTCTATAAGGCTCTGAGGCCTTTTGCTCAAGACCACCTCTGTAACATTTAGTAATCTTCACAGATGCCCAGGGAAGGCTCTCTTCCTGTTGGATATGCAGACATGACAACATCCTCCCCCAGAGCTGATTTCTGTTGAGACGCAGTGGCTTCTTCCCCAGGGGAATGTTATTCATTCAGTTATAGCTTACATCAGGTGTTTCCATGCACCAAAACTCAGCTTGGAAGACTCTCAAAAGGATGTGGGCCTCCTGGTTTGTCTCGGACTTTCCCAGTGCTACTGAGTCAGTCCTTCATGGGCTCACATTGAGACTGCTAGAACCACATGCTCAGCGTGGTCATGGGAAAAGTGTGAGATGCTGCCACTATCTTGGGGGGTCGATCGGGGTGACAGTCAATACAAGGGCTCCAGTTCCCTGCAGTGTGGGTTCAAATCCTGGCTTTGACACTATTAATGTTGGACTCTTCATCAATAAACCGTCGATAATATAGGAGTTCCTACCTCATCAGCTTGTTATTAGGATTGACAGAATGGGTGTAAAATGAACTTCAGTTTTATTACTGAGTTTGTGGCTTTATCTACTGACTTCTTCATGCTTTTTGGTTTTGCCTTTCTCATACTAACTATTCCAAATAAATAATAAACTAACAACAAACAAATACATGCTGCTGTTAATTAGGAAGATTACAATGCAATTTTTATATTTGATTTTACCTAATCTTCAGGACTTGCTCAAATGTCTCCTCTCTGGGGGAGAGTCCGCAACTCTTGGAGGTTGGTTTACATGCTCCACATGTGTGCCCATCTGTGCCAGTGCACTGGCACTGCACAGTAATTGTATATGTGCTTTTCTATTTCCTCCATTAGACTATTAATAACTTATGGTTAAAAAAAAAAAGCATGTCACACAGCGCCTTGAATAATGTTCAATAAATGGCAGCTGTATTATTATTCCCTGGACTTATTAGTCACATTCATCCTGCTACAGAGGCATTTTGCTGTCCTCTAAAATTACACTTTTGGGAGTGTCCCTACAGATGAAAGGAGCACCTGAGAACAGAGACGGTGGTCAAAGATGGACTTGTGCTGATTTTGGTGGGAAACAGGATGAGATTCATCTTTGCCCATTGATTAGTCTCTGGTCTCAATTGGAAGATTCAATTAAAGTGCCATAGTTTCTACCTATTTCATTCTCTCCGAGGGAAAAAGCCCACAGATGATCATATGACAAGTGTCCTGGATCATAAGACCCTTCAAAACTTAAGCATGTGAAAGGTAAAATTTCCCTCTGGTGGCTGAAACTTAGGGACACTGACTTTTTGGTGATGTCGGAACCTTGCCAGAGGCAGCATTCTGTAAATACGTGCTGAATGAATGGATGGATGAATCCTCAGGTGACATCTCTGCACCTGTGTCTGAAGCAGCTAGACAAAGTGACACTGGGCAGAGCCCTGGCCTTCAGTCAGAGTTTTTAAAAAAGGCTATTTCCATTTCAGACATGTTGCCGCTAACACCCACAGGGCAAGGCAGCAGTATAGACAGGAATCGGGGCTTTGCCTCAACAACACCCGATGCTAACTGTGTGCCAGGTACTTCACCTACATCAGATCTAAACCTTGCAACCAGTCCATGAGAGAAAACTCATGAGCCCGTTTTATAGATGAAGGAACTGAGACCTAGATTAAAGTGTGCTCAAGACCCTACTGACTGGAATCCCAGTCCATCTGCTCTTCTCCTCCTGGAGAGGAGCCCAAGTCGATGAAAAGATGAGGACTTGTTCTTTTCCTCCCTAACATTTCTAGAGAGAATTCAGGGATGCTAGGCTCTGAGGACAGGCTTGTGAGCTCCTCAGGGACCCCCTGAAAACTCTAGGAAGGTGACAGCGAGAGGAGAGTGTGTGCTAGGCCAAAGCCCAGCACAGAACTAATTACTGATGTCACAGTCCCCCTCCCCCTCCCTGTCTCTTGATTTTCTTGGTCTTGATTTTCTTCCTTCCTTTCTTCCTTTCCTTCCTTCCTTCCTTCCTTCCTTCCTTCCTTTCCTTTGTCTCTCTCTCTCTCTCTCTCTCTTTCTTATTTATCTCTCATACACAGGACACACTCAATTCCATAAGTGAATAAGCACAAGTATTTGTGTTTAATCTCACACCCTCAAGAGAAATCCAAAATGACTAGCTAGACCTGTCTTGGAAATCCACTTGGTTCTTGTTGGGATTATCCAGTCCCACTTGGAAAGGGGTGGCCCCAGTGTTAGCTGCTACTGGCTCCATGTTCAGAAAGCAAGTCCTTTCATGGGGCTCAGCTGTTCCTCAGGCATCCAGTAAAGCTGGTCATGCAAAGGCAGAAAATGTGACAACTGTTGGAAACCTTCAGCGGCAGCCTATGGGAGCAACTGAACATTCTTTGGAGCAGACACTTCACCGACAGTTAAAGCAGCCTATTATTCAGTTTATATAAAACACCCACCAGCTACATGGCACCAATAACTGAATACCTCCATTCTCATCAAGTTGAAGACACACTGGCCACTAACAGTAGAAGCCATAAACAACTTCATTATCCATCAAAATACACACGCACAGAGGGAAAAGGAAAGAAAAGAAAAAACAGCCTTCCTGAGTTCTGAGGACCAGAACTCAAAGACTGTTCGATAGGCAAACCACAGTATTTCAACACTGCCAACAAACTCTCTCTCTTGCTTCAGTGGTAGAATCTCCAAGACATTTAAGAAGAGTTTGATAAAGACGGTATCAGAGCCACAGAGACCACATCAAATACTTCTTTAAAAAAGAAGGGCCTGTATACATTTTTCCTAATCTGTCCAAAGGATTTTCAAAACACTTTCATGTGATTTGCTTCCAAAACATTGCACACTATTTCCCCAACAAATTTATATGTGTTTCCAGGGAACTCCTGGACAAAAAAAAAAAAAAAAAAAAGTCCTTAAGTAGAAAAATGTCTGGAGATTCCTGTATTCCAATATGTTAACAGACCTTCTCTTTTAATTATTATTATTTCATATAGCTGCAGTAATCACTCCCTCATCTGCAAAGGAAATATATAATCCAGCTGTGGTGGCTCCAGTAAAAATACCACATCTGGGGATCATTGGCACCACTGTGGTAAGATTGCTCAAATCTAGGCAGTCTCAGAGGGTTCTCTTTTTTACCAAGATGCACATGGGTACACTTTTCTGAAAGTGCATATAAACTTTGCCAAAACTGGTTGCTCCTTTGTATGCTGAAAACAGGTTTTCAGATTATCCACACCCATAAGAAAAGGCTCTCTTAGAATATTAGTCCCAGGACTCAGGTGTTATAAGAAGTCTCCAGACCCCTCCAGGGTGGTGGCTTGTACCAGTGCCCTTGTCAATATCAAATAGAACAGGGAAAATTCACACTCCCAGCTGGTTTCAGGGAGGAGGTTCTACCGCGTGGCTGGCAGTTGGAGCTGACTGCTGGTTTTCCACTTAGAGAATCGGCTTCCGCAGAGAGGATGGCAGCCACGGTTCTGGTCACCGATCTCTGTTCTCCAGTGTATGAAGTCAGAGGTATTACTGAGCACTGGGTGATAATATTCCAAGAATCGTCCTCCATACGTCTGTTTAGTCTTTCCCCAAAGCCCAGTAGCAAGCATCTTATTTCTAAGCCAATTTTCCACATTCAAATCCCCAGCCCAAAGCGCGCCCTGGGGGTTTCAATCTACAGACCTATAAAAGAAAAAGCAGCATAGCTGAGCCTTGACAGACTTTTATCCCCAAAACATATGCCCCGCGGCTACTGTGCTGGAATGTCGACGGCAGAAACACTTCGGGTCCCTTTCCATACCAGACAATAGAGCAAGAAAATAAAATGAAAGTGGACTTACTGCTATGGCTTGCAGCCTTTCCTTGTGCAATTCCGCCTCTGCCATCCTGGAGAAGGGCACACAGGGAGGGGAAAGAAGAAAGAAAAACAAACACACGCTGTAGTCACCCACGGAAATTGATGGGCACCCCGGGGGGCTCTGCTAGAATCCCTGGGAGAGCCGAGAGGAGGTCAGGATCCGCTCCGGGGGTGGCGGGCAGAGCTGCGCGCGCGGCTGGCTCACCCGGCTGGCTGG